AAAGTAACTCGGTATGCACATTTCCTGCGTCCAAAGTAGGTTCGCTACAGCATATGGGTGAAATCGGCTGAAGACCATGCCCACCACCTCGCACATACAACTAATATAGTTTGTTTTAAACCTTTCATGAACTTTTGTCCGAAATAAAAATGAGCTTAAGTGTCAAAAGCAGAAGAGATAAACCCACAAAAATATATAACGAACGGGTCGCAATGACGAGTTGAGTTGATTTAGCCAAGTCCATCTATTAAAGTATTCAAAAATCTTTATGTATGCGGATGATTTGAAACCTTTTTAAAACTTAAACTGGGCATGATTGAATGGTATGAAATTAATGATAATTAAAATTAATGCTCTTGAATCTTAAAAAGTGTAATGTTCTTGACCTCATCCCAACGAACCGTACAGTCAGCTACTTGCGATATAGATAACTATAATCCGAAGCAGGTTCACTGTTCCGTTGAATTGGTTACCAGTACGGATCTCAAACTGGACTTTACACTTCACATTGGTGTGACAAGGCCAGTAACAAAGCCAACGGTATATTGACGAATGGTGGTCAAAAGAATTCAAAAACCTTTATTTTTTTCTTAATTTTATACACAACATTAATAAGATCTATTCTGGAGCCATATTCCAGATAATTTGGAACCAAAATTCGGATAGAATCTATTCAAAAACAGTTTCTCCTTTTTGCCTTTAGAACTTTCCATTCTGACTACCAATGCAATCTTCCACCTTATATTAGTAGTCTGAAACTAATTAATCTTCTCCACTCCTGACAATTTTGTTGTTGGTTTTGTTACCGCAAAATATTCCCCGAATTGGTTTTCGGATAAAAATCTGGGTCGTTCGGGCATAAAGACTCGACTGTCTGTGTGAACTATTGGATTTTAGTCGCCTCTTACGACATGCCGTACTATGGGTAAATTCTTGAGCCCCTAACCTGCAGAGACTTCACTCTTGGCAATTGTAATGAAATGCTTGGTGTGATTTACATAGCTAGAATAATAACAAAAAGGCTCAGTTTCCAGTCCTCGTCTTCTTACAAAAATCAAATTCGATGTACCGTAAAAATAATTTTGAATTTCACGAACCCTTATATTAAATTACACTTTGGTATTGAACGCTATCAGAATCGGACGACTTTGACATGTGTTGTTTTGGTTAAATTTTAGGCATTTATGAAAATAGATCGCTAAACAAGCGCCCAACATGTTAAAATTGTTAGAATCTACTACAAAAATGGAAAAAATGTTCTTTCCATCTCATATGTCGTTACTGTATAATGTAGGAAAATGGCTAAGGGAAAGTGTAGTCCCGAAGCAAAGTCCGGAAAACCCGAATGTGTCTATTTCTCGATATTCTCCAGAGCTGGGACTTTCTTACGGCCATTTATGGCGTTTTCAAGCTTAGACTTACACCCACAATAGATCTATATAAATTTCAGCTCACACAACAACTGTAGCCATCTGATCATTCACAACGTCGTATAAAGAAAATTGCTGAAATTTGTGGCACCAGCAATCCTCGAATAATTGAAGAGAGATCATTATACTACAAGAAAACTTACTGTCCAGTGCGTTCTTTGGTTCATAGGTGTGATTGAATCTTACTTCTTTTAAACGGGGCGTTATGGTCATACGATAACTAACTTGTTTTTGGTCTGCCACTGAAGAGCACGACTTGGTTTCAACAAGCTGATGTCGCCTGCCACACAAGACAAGTGAATATGGCTTTATTGCGAGAGAAATTTCCCGGCCGCGTAATCTTTCGTCTCGACAATGTCGCCTGGCCACCCATATCGTACGATTCGACAACGTTGAAGTTTTTTTTTGTGGAACTATGCGAAAGAACGTGTTAATGCGGACACATCTTTAACTCTTGAGCACTTGAGAATCAACATTCGTCAAGTTATGGCTGAGCTACCGCCATATTGGGTGCACGAAAAGTGGTCGAAAATTATCTCAAACAGATCGGTGTCTGCAAAAATTAGCGAGGCGGTCATTTGAATAATGTAGTGTTTCACATATAATACATTTTAAAGGCTCAAAATTTATAATGAAATAGGAATTTCATGAAAAAAGTTATTTTAAGTGTATTTTCTTTACCTTTATTTTCGAAACCACAAATTGGTTAACCCTGTATATTGTACATATATACATGTATGTATGGATTTTAAAATTTCCTTTGTTTAAGCATTTAATTAAACTCTTTTATGAGCTAATCAATTTCTATATATTTTTTTATTGTTTTTTATCTTGGTGCTTAATAGCCTCAAATATTTAAAGCTGACTTTGATTTGTTTATTTTACTTTTTTTGTAGTATTACATAAATAAATGTCATTGTGTATTGATGTACATATGTACATATATATATATACATAAATCAACTGGATTGCATTGACTATTTTTTCACGGTTGCTGGTATTAATGCCACTTAACGGTACATGTACAATTACTATTGTATTTTAAAGTTGCATAACCAGTTTTTGATTATACTTATTATATATGTATATCAATACATATATTTCTTAGTAATCAATATGAAATGCAAATTATTTCCCCGTTTTCTTTTTAGGATGTCTTAAAAAAAATAGTTATTAGGGAACTTGAATTCCAGGCAGGGTATTAAAAAAATGTTTCTCTTATCTTTATTAGACACTAGTGAATACGGGCGACCGCTATTTTGGCTCTCATATATTTATTAGGTTCCAATTGGATGCCATAATTGGTATTGTAAAAGACGTGAAAGAGGAGTCTACTCAGAGTCTCCTTTGAAAATGTGTATATTAATGTCTTGAACGAGCTTTTAGCCCTGACAGCTAGTGCTTCTTTCTCTGTAAAATAATACTTCTATTATTATTTTACATTTATAATAAATATGTAAATGAATAATGCCTTAAAGCTGAAAAATACTAGTTTGATCTACGCTTATGACATGGATATAACAACACCGTCAAATATTGTACAAAATACCTCTCAGTTGTAATATAAAATTTTGAATGTATGCATATATATAGCAGTTTTCGACGATTTGTCATTGGCCAACTTCCTCAAAAAATTATTTTAGTTATATATAAAATTTAAGCAAATTTAACCTTCTCTCTGTCCAGAAGTACACAACAATACAACGAAATCGATAAATGGACAACTTTATTATTTTTGTAAGCAGAATACTGATTGTTTGCAAAAATTGCATTATATTTGAATGAAATGCTAACGAAAAACAGCCAGATTAATACCTTATTCACTCGCTGTGGGTTGTTATTTTTTTTTGTATCTTTCGTAGTTGTTCTCTGCCAAAGTAACCACTATCTAAAATTCTCAGTCCCGTCATCGCTCTTTAATATGTTGGTGACGTGCACAGAGTAACTTTCAGGTTTTAAAAAATGACTAACATATACACATATGTCTGGCGGCAGTGGGCTCTCGCTCTTTATGATACAACGAAGTTTAAAAAAAATCACATTTTAATACTAAGTGTAGAGTTATAGAACAACTTTGTATTAAAAAATGTACACAAAAACTATATATATACACCTTTTTGAAGAATCACTCTATATACTGGTGAAACTCGTATCAAAATCCCTTTAACCGTTTTTGAGTTTACCGCGAACGGACAGACAAACAGACGCGGAGGTAACTTTATTTTATAATAGTTAAGTATTCAGAATTATATTTATCTACTTTTTTTTTGGCTTAGTTTTTATTGGAATTCAAATGCTAAAATATTTATGAATGTTTACACTCGTCTTTCTCATCTCCCTGGCATTTCCAATGTACACCTCCCAATAGAGCTAAAATCTCTTTTGGCAAAAAAAATTTTTTTTCGGTAAAAACAATGTTTAACTTGAAATATCGAAAGAAACCTTTATTTGTTGCCCAAAATCTAATATTTAATTCTTTCATCACAAAAAAAAAGAATTTTGTTGCAACGATTTTGGTCCGAATCGAGAAAAAGAAAATGCGTAATGTTAAATTTTGTTCAAAAACGGGTAAGGAAATTGGCATTTGATAGGTTTTTTACGCGAATTAATTTTTTTTTCGAAATTTCCAAAATGCATTTAAAAGCACTGAAAGAGTTTTCGCAAAGAATTTTATTACTTTAACATTAACTGGCCTATTTTAATACTTTGGTATTAAAATTTGCCATTCAGTAAATTTTGTCACTATTTCGTATTCTGAGTTAACAAAAAAATCTGCTGATTTTGATTTTATGTTGTTAGTTTAAGAAAAAATACAAACCAAAATGGGTAGGCATATTTTGGGCCTGAAATTTATTGAAAATGAAGAAAAAATTGCAAAAAGGCGTATTTTAACAAATTTTCGAGACAAAAAATAGCCATTTCATTTGAAAGATAGCATTTTCATTCAGCTTTTTTTTGTCGCTTAGGCATATTTTCCAAAATTAGGTTCAAATATTTATGATTTAGTAAAGAAATCAAAAAAAGCAGTGCTGCCAAAGTTTTTTCAAACATTGTCACCAGTTCGCCAGAATAATGAATTCAATTTCGGGTGTTAAAAAAAAGTAACAAAATTTACTTTACCGGTAACAGTGAGAATAGGCCTGTAAAACTATAACGTGATGTTAATACTTTGAAAAATTAAATATATAATCATTTTTCTGAAATAATCTACAATTTTTTTTTCAATTAGAAAATTATTAGCTATTTACTTATTTAATTTTATTACGCTTAGCTAATAACAAATAATAGTTAATTTTAAGCTCATGCATATGTTTATGTATGTATGTATATACAATTGAAATATTAGTTAAGATACCCAAAATATTGAGCGTATAAATAAATAGATAAATAAATACATTACAAGTAAAAAGCAAAAAAAATACACAAACTGGTCTAATTAAAGATAAATTGCTTACATACATATGTAGGTATATATAATTGGCTTAAATTCAACTTACTTGTCTTTATTTGATATGAAATTAAGCATACAAAATAAACGCTAAGAACATAAATGGCGAAATATCAACATACCTTTACTCCGGTAGAAGACAAAATCCTGTTTTAGCTCATATCATGTGACATCATCTGTGTATTGTTTTACTCTGAAATGATATAATATAAGTATATAAGCATATCTATGTTGTTTGTGTGTCTAATTAGATTCTAGAGGGCGCTGTCTAGTGTGACGGCTACGGCCGGCAAAAAAAGCCCAAAATGAAAGTGAGAGTTTTAGAAAAAGCTTTTTGCAGAAATGTAGTAAATACTAATAACTCCTCCAACAGTGTGGTAGCACTTAGCAACGGTGCGACTATAAGGCGATATCATGTTTGCTTCTTACTTTGACCAACAATAAATTTAATACGAAAGTCTTGACTATTCCACCAAGAGCTTCCAAAAAAATAAGTATAAAAAACCCTGCTCCTATACTTGAAAGTATATATTTTCTTATAGATACATATGTTTCTGTACATTTCTTAGAGAGCCTTCAATACTTCTGATCAATTTTGGTTAGGAATTTATATAAAGGGTGGTTTTTTAGCTTTTTTTTGGCAACACTAATTTAAACAGCTGACGCACGTCTCGCGTTTTGTATCACTGTCAAACATCTTCAGTTTGGTCTATAATTGAACCATGAATCGGCTCCTTAAACGAACAACGCTTGCAAATTTTTGAATTTTATTATTAAAATGCGTGCTCTGTTAAGAATGTTCATCGTGTAAATAAGCAGTATTGTCGATTTTGGAGTGAAGTTTAGCCTGAAACCTTGCAAGAGCTACCAATGCATCCAGAAAAAGTCACAACTTGATGTGGTTTATGGGCTGGTGGCATCATTGGACCGTTCTTCTTCAAAGATGCTGCGAATCGTAACGTAGCTGTGAATGGTGAGCGCTACCGTAAGATGATATAAATTTTTTTTTTTAGCCCAAACAACAAGGTTTCAACAGGACGGAGCCACACAGCACGCGTAACAATGGACTTTTGAAAGATGAGTTCGGTGAACATTTTCTTTCACGCTCGGGATCGTTCAATTGGCCGCCTAGATCGTGCGATTTAACGTCTTTAGACTATTTTTTGTGGGGCCATGTTAGATATAATGTGTATACAGACAAGCCCGATTCAATTGACGCATCGCAGGACAACGTTGAAGCCTTTATTCGTGAGATACCGGCCGAAATGTTGGAAAGAGTATGCCAAAATTGGACTAAGCGGATTGACAATTTCCAAACATTGAATTATATGGACCGTACTATCGATTCAAATAAAGATTTTGTGCATTTTGCTGATTTTTATGTGATATTTTTTTTTTTACTTTCCTATAGCTCTTAAAAAAATCACCCTTTAGCAACTGTCCCAAATGGTATTTTGTTTCGAAAAGAGCGGTCCTAGGTCCACTTCCCGGAAAGTCCTTTCTTATTCGTTGCATGCGTCATTCAGGTCTCTACGATTAGTGGTTTGGACTTGGTTAGTCATTCCGGAGAAAGCTTTTTATACACATACATATATTATAGATTACCATTTTTATACCTTACCTGTATATTAAATGTTATATTAACTATGATCCGGAGTATTTAACTACCAGCAGGTAAAGTTATTGTATATATAAGTGTATACAACATACGATTTGTAACCGCTGAAGCGATTTTCAACCGAGCTCTTGCTTCAATTGGCGGTATGTGTCTCGATATTTTTCCAACAAATAGTTTATTCCAAGCCGCATCGGAACGAGCGATGAAATCTTATGAGAAGCCTTTATTTCATAATAGAAATACACTCGGAGGGCTTGACATTCCCTTTCGAGGGGCAACCGCAATTAGAAGAATCAATTTTTCATAATTTTGGATGTCGGCCAAACCCAACCAACGCTAGCCCTCAGAAAGGCAATACGCAATGCCAACCCTAGCCGAGTGCGGCTGCCGAAGGTGAAGAGATAAACCCTTTGAAACTTGTAGCAATCGGTGCAGAATCGAGTTGATTTGCCTATATCCGTCTGCCCGTCTGCTTGGTACAAAGATACTCTGGCACATTCAAACGATCAGACTAGATCGGATCACTATGGCATACATATTATATATACGATTAATTTTCCTGATTCGACATTAAGGGTTATAAATTTTCTGCACAAATATGATAAATTTCATATTGCTACTAAAAATTATCGAAATCGGACGACTCTAACCGATTTGTTCAGATATGGGATTTTTTGCCAAAAGCTCCGCCAAAAAAGCATTTAAGAGTATGAAAGTCGGTATTATACATACATATTTACAAATAATAAGATGGTAATCGAAAATCATCGAAATCGGAGGACTATATCCCATGGCTCACTTACAACCGATTTGTTCAGATGAGGTTAATTTAAAATCACTCTAAAATACCAAATCTGTTGGAATATTTCCTTCAATCTACTGCAAATTCTATACGAATGTATATATGTATGTATGTTGGTTCAAACATTATGTATGTATGTGCCCAAATATGAATACGCCATCTCTTTGAAGGAATGAGAATTTATTTAGGGACTCGCAAAAATTTCACCAAATTTATGTACATACATCTGTATGTATGGATGTATGTATGGTTGTAAATACTCGTACGTATTGTACCTTTGCAGTTTTAATACTCCAGCTTGTCTGCTCATCTGTGTGTGCGAAAAAAAAATCAAGGAAAAGAGGTCATAAACCTCAATACCTTGTAAAGCAAGTAAAATTGAAAATGAAGGTAGGTACTAATATATACACACATAGGAGTATGTATATACACATTCTCTCATATGTATGTATATGTGTCTCAAGGAAGCAATTGCCGTATAAACTCGCATACCTACGAGTGATCTCAGTATCCATGCATATATGTACTTACCTACACACATGTATGTAAGGCAGTTAGGTCTAGTGACACGCAGAATATATTTTTTTTTTTTGTTAAAAAACCCTAGTGATGACAATGATACTGCATGTGCAAGAAAGATACCAGTGAACAGGTATATTGAAGTTTATGAAATTTTATCCCAAAAATCCCAAAATCAGAACCACAAGAAACTTGAAACTGACTGACTGACTCGCTCATACGTCCTCTTGCCTGCCTTTTGAATCTGTTACGCCTAATATTATTTTACGAAAATTATTGTACTTTTCTCAAACTGTAGTTTGTAAAAAGTCCACAACAACAAATGAACTCAAGATCGAAATTTCAATTATTACCAAAAGTACAATATACTCCTACAGACAGACGAATGTGCATACGCGTACATATGTAGGTACTAATGAACATGAAACAGGATCTCAATGCAGCTGTTTCCTTGTTTGTGCATATGTACATGTGTAGCTTGTGTAGTTTTCTTAAGGAATTTTTGAATGGTATTCATTACAAAGGTGTATGCATTCAAGCATATGTAGCATACAGTGAATTTTTAAGCTGACCAGAAAAAAATTTTATACAAACTAGACTGAAACCGTATCAGACCGAAAAATACCACCTTGTCGTTACCAATATAAAAAATCTATATATGTATGTAGTGCCAACTAGTTCTATACATGGCACTGCAGGGTATTCAAAGAGTATTAATGTCAAATCCATATAAATTCATGCAGTGATAATAGGGTAAAAACTTTTTCAAACCCTAAACATATGTCTGTACATGCGTACATGTTGTATGTGCATATCCTGCGAGGAAAAGGTAGACTAGTATGCAAAAATTCTAATAAAAAAAAACAAGCATTTTGAAGACGAAATTACACTAGTTTTTTGTAAACCAGAATTATACTAGTATTTAAAGAAGAAAAATATACTAGTTTGCTATAGACTAGAATTATACTAGTATTTTTTCGACAAAAGCTGAACTAATTTTCAAAAATTCGGGTAAATGAACAAGTATTTCGCGAACAAATTCATACCAGTCTGTCATTTTGAATACAAAAGGGCTACACTCATTATTAACGATAAGCTTCGACCACACATTAAAAGACTTGCGCTACAACAAGAACAACAATAGTCACATATTATTGTGGTTTTGTATGTTTTGTTCAATTGTATAGAAACATGAGCAGTCCTAATTAAGCTTCAAATATCGATCGATAACCCACTTCCTGGAATGAAATAACATACTAAATTTCAAATTAGGTGAACCATAATTATTTCCCGTGAAAACAGTTTTTCAAAAGGGTTCACAAATTAACTGGAACACAAAAAAAAGGGGTTCACTCTTTGGGAATGCCAGAATCTTTGCATTTGCCTGGCACGATGCAAGGCGAACTAGTCCTCAACTGATATGAACGAGCTAGTATCTTAATTAGGTATGAACTGGTATTTAACTAGTATGACTGATAATCGACAATTCGTAAGACACCGCCGTGTTAATAATACCAGTTGCTTACATGGAAAATAGATGTAAATGAACTAGTTGGTGTGAAAATGTAAACTAGTTGGATTCTGGATAGCAACAAGTATTTTTTCCTGCAGGGTTCATATGTTCGTCTGTATGTACATATATCGAAAGAACAAAGTATGCAACATAAAAGAAATGCATATGCATAACAACACTCTGCCAGCCAACAAATAAATATGTATGTACATGTATACATATATACATATATACATATGTATGTACATATGCTCCTTTGAGTATCTGATTACAAATGGGGAGCACACAGTTGCGAATAATTGTGGATACATACGTGTATATACATCTGTATTTACTTATTATTATATACTTATGCATACATATGTACCTACGCAGTCCTTGATTAAAGTGAACAGCCCTAACTTTACATATTCACAGGATAACCAAACAGGAAACCAAACCAAATCGATGACTAACTTTAAATTTACATTATGAAGTTAAGTTAATTATTTTAGATTTTTACAATGCAACATTTGCAGCTTCAAAAAAATTCGTTAATAACCATTTTATGCGGTTGAAAGATGAAGAAAGGATTGCCTATGCTCGGGTAGCGCCGAACAGTTTCGTGTAAGGATGAGTATCTTTTGAGTTCGAAGACGGTAAGTCGCTTCATGCCTTAAATGTTCAAACTTCATTGGACACCATGTGAAGGCTAGTACCTCTACACTCTATATTTCCTCTTCCGCTGCCTACAGCAACGTA